AGTGCCCATGGGGAGGGGGGGAAATGAGCGGGGAGACGGTCGGCAGGGGGAGGGAATCATCCCACTGCTGAGTATGGCACTCCATCAAAACTTACAAATTGTTCCTTTCTGAAAAATTCTACTTGGTATTTGTGGGTACTAGCTGACTGTAAATAATTAAAGCCATGGACAGTGAACCTAAGGATGGGGCAGGGAGAGATGGTACACACAGAGACCCCATGGTCTCCAAACCCAAAAGATCTTGCTTCAAAAGGGGTGGCATTGCCAGGTGCCAGTGGCTCACACCTGTAATCTTAGCTACTCAGGAGGCTGAGATCTGAGGATCAAGGTTCAAAGCCAGCCCAGGCAGGCAAGTCCGTGAGACTCTTTTATTTTTTGTTGGTTGTGGGGCTTGAACTCTGGGCCTGAGCGCTGTCCCTCAGCTCTTCAGCTCAAGACGAGTGCTCTACCACTTGAGCTACAGCGCCACTTCCGTTTTTCTGGTAGTTTAATGGAGATAGGAGTCTCACGGTCTTTCCTGCCCGGGCTGGCTTTGAACCTTGATCCTCAGATCTCAGCCTCCTGAGTAGCTAGGATTACAGGCGTGAGCCACCAGCACCCAGCCGTGAGACTCTTATCTCCAATTAACCACCAGAAAACTGAAAGTGGAGCTGTGGCTCAAGTGGTAGAATGCTTGCCTTGAGCTGAAGAGATGAGGGACAGTGCCAAGGCCAAGAGTTCAAGCCCCACGACTGACTAAAAAAAAAGGTTACATCAGGGCTGGGAATGTGGCTTAGTGGTAGAGTGCTTACCTAGCATGCATGAAGCCCTGGTTTGATTCCTCAGTACCACATAAACAGAAGAAGCTGTAAATGGCACTGTGGCTCAACTGGTAGAATACTAACCTTGAGCAAAAAGAAGCTTAGGGACAGTGCCTAGGCCCTGAGTTCAAACCCCAGGGCTAACCAAAATTTAAAAAGAGAAAATGACAAAAGTCTGCATTACCTGGCAGTAAAGCAGTACCACACTAAAGATCCTGATTAAGATGGCCAGGACTCTGAAGCCAGCTACCTACTGTTTGTTTTATAGGATATACAGCTTAACCTTTACTTGATTTCACAAACCACCAAGCAAAGCTTTATAGAAGCAACTTCAAAAACCCTGCCCTTAGGAGCAAGCATAGCCTCTACTTTCCCTCCCTGCCAATCCCCCAGCTTTTCTCTCTTGGCCTCTTCCCTTGGTACAACCCCAGCAGTTTTCTTCAAACTCCAGCTCTAAGAAGCCCGGCTTAGACTGGTCAGGGTTTCAGCAAGACCTAGAAAAAGATTAACTGAATTCCTTTTTCCTAAAAACACGGTTCCTTTACAGCAAGAGAAAGGTCATAAAGCTGCTAAAGGTCACAGAATTTAGTTCAAAGAGCTCATTCATTTACTGGGTGGAGTACTTCAAGGCAGAAAAAAAAAAATCCACCCAATATACACACACAAAACCACAGCGCAACATACACACCCACCCTGAGAAACTTGAAGCCTCCTGCCCGCAAAGCAAAACCAGGGTGGGTAGGGGTGGGGTTTAGGCAGGGCCGCCGCCCCTCAGGGGCCTCTGGAGGGAGGGCAGTGCCCACAGCTCTAGGGAGGAGCAAGATCCCCAAGCCTAGCGCCAGCAGCCAATGGGGACCGCCAAGTGCAGGAGCACCAAATTAGGAAATCACTCAGCCAGCCCCCACCCTCTCCTCCCGGGATCAGGGGAGGAAAGGCCGGGCATGTTTGTAAACATGGCAACCCCGCCCCAGGAAGAAACTCAAACTGAAGTCTCTAGGCCAGCAAAACCACCAAGATTCTGAGGTTTCTAACACCCAGCAGAACTCTACACGAGAAGAATCACAGATGTCCACAGAGGCCCACTGCTGTAAGGCTTAATTAAAGGTCCACAAGCCAGAGAGCAGGTCCCTTAGTCCCGGTAGTTGACCAGGAACCCAAGAGGAGCCAATGGGAAGCTGCAGGGGGACAAAGATGGGGACAGACAGGAGGATGGGGAAGAGCAGGTGGGCAGCACGGACACCTGGGACCAGAAGGGAAGGAAGCACTCAGCTGAGGGCTCACTGACAGCAGAGCTGCCACCACCTCTGCCACTGGGTACACGCTGACACACGAGGCCTCTGGGGATCCACAATGCCTGACTCTACCAGAAACAGTTCCTTCAGCTGGGCCAGATACACTAACCAAGGCCCCTTAGTGGCCACCTGGTTTGACTTCCATAGGCCACAAGCAGCAGGGCACTCACATCTGAGCCCCTGCAGCATTGGTATGGCTTAGCTTTGTCCCAGAGGCTGTGTTAAGGTGACACTGAAAGTAGATTTAAGCACACGTGAGGTTTTAATAGCCTAAACCATATCACACACTGTCCATACTGCCCGCCATGGCACACAACTCAGTGGGTTTTAGCATGTTCACAAAGCTGCAGAGCCTTTACCGCATTTAGTTTAAAACATCCTTACCAGGCCACATGGACCCCCTGTACCTCAAACCTGTGAGAGCAAGTCCTGACTGTGGCCAATGCCCACCCTGGCTACCCCATGCGAATGGCACCACGCACTACGACCATACGATACATCCACGCAACCACGTAATATATCCATGAGACCATGCACTAGGTGGCCCTTTGTGACTGGCACTTCTCACATGGCATTAGGTCTCCAAGGCTGACCCACTGGGACCAGGTATGCAGGTCTTGTACCCTCTCACGCCCTTGTGATTTCCTATCTTACAGACAAGCCACACACTGTAACTTTCCCCAGGTATGTGGCTGTGAGTCCCACCCCGGGGCCATCGTGAGCAGTGGGGCCACAACAGCCAGGCTAAGGCTATGTGACAATGACCTGCTAGGTCATAGGGGGGCCCTCTGTGTAGCCTTTTTGTTCCACAGCAGCTGCATCATGTCACCACCGAGCATTTATCCGTGTGTAACTTACATATACATCTGGGAAGGAGAGAACATTGCCATGGCTCTGAGGACAGAGCCCCTGCAGAGCCTTGTTGTGTGGGATTGCAGCCAAGTTAGACATCTGGAGCACAAGGTCACATACAGAATTTGGGCATTAGAATGGGAGGCCGAGAATAAAAGTAATCTCTCATAAAGACACAGGCACTGAATGGTACCGCACAGCCAATGCAACGATGGGCTTTGCTAGTCATTCACCACCACCATCATCATCTATGAAGTTCAGGCTGGCTCCAAGGCCAGGATCTGAGGAGGACAACCCCCACTCTGGCTCTGGGAAAGAGGACATCAACTCCAACTCCAACACAAATGATTCCCCAAGGAGCACATTTCATCACTGGAAAACAAAGCCAACAATGGAAAAATAGTGCAGGAAGCCAATCTGGTTGCTGCTCAGTGAGTCAAGAGACAAGTCTAGCCTAGTGTGGTGGCGCTTACTGGTATGTAGGAGGCGGAGCCAGGCCAGCCTGTGCTACAAAGAAAAAACCCTATCTCAAAAAAAAAAAAAAAAAAAAAAAAAA